ATGGATAGATGGATGGATGGATGGATGGATGGATGGATGGATAGATGGATAGATGGATAGATAGATAGATAGATGGATAGATGGAATAGATAGATAGATAGATAGATAGACGGATAGATAGATAGATAGACGGATAGATAAATAGACGGATAGATAGATAGATCGATAGATAGATAGATAGACGGCTAGATGGATAGACGGATAGATAGATAGACGGCTAGATGGATAGATAGATAGATAGATAGATAGATAAATAGACCACTTTCTATTCTATTTTAATTCTACTTTATATTTATCTTATTTTTTTTATAAACCCCCCCCCAGATTTTTCTATTCTATCTACTTGTTTTTCTTTGTGTGCGTGTGTGTATAATATTATATATATATATATATATATATATACCTTCCTACGTGTACTGTGTTAGGGTGTGTGTGTGTATAATATATATATATATATATATACCTTGCTATGTGTACTGCGTTAGGCTAACCGAGACTTGTCATTTGCACTTATATATTGTTTGTTATTTGTTAGTTTTGACTGCTTTTATTGTCCTCATTTGTAAGTCGCTTTGGATAAAAGCGTCTGGCTAAATGTAAAACTGAATATATAAATGTAAATCTGAATATATAGAAGTAAATCTGAGTATATAAATGTAAATCCGAATATACAGATATAAAACTGAATATATAAATGTATTGTAAATCAGAATATATAAATGTAAATCTGAATATATAGATACAAATCTGAATATATAAAAGTACATCTGAATATATAAATGTACATCTCAATATAAATACATCTTTGTTATCTGGCATGTCAAAAGACAGATGTTCTTATTTATTATTTTTATTAAAACAATATGCCTATACATCCTGAATGCATCAATTAGGATATTGTACTATATTAATTACTGTAAGTGTATATAACTTATCTAAACCAAACGGAGTATTTTTACTGTATTTTACAAAAGGCTGGCCGTAGCGCCAAAAAGTCCTCACAATTCAACATAGCTACAAATTTTGCAAGTTCTTGTCTGGTGTAAAACAGCCACTGTATCTATTTTTGCTATTCTAATATAAATAAATCCATGTTATCACGTAGCATTTTTCCCTTTACTAGGTAGTGGTACAAATTATTTCAAGGAATCACCTGGAAAATTTACATGATATTGGTTTTAGTTGGACCACTATATCTCAAAAGCTATGTATTAGCATCAGGACTTGATTTAATCACAGAAGGGAACTTGGGAATTTATGTGGGATTTACACCTCTCTCTGATGGAGCTTGATCACCATATAATCAACATCCTGTTATCTGTACCTTATTCTGGGGAAACATACATTCAAGGCAGCTTGAGAGGCAGAGGACTTAGACTTCAACAATGGAGAGTACGGGAGCATGTACTTGTATATATTCAGATTTACTTCTATATATTCAGATTTACATTTATACATTCAGATTTACTTCTATATATTCAGATTTGCATTTATATATTCAGATTAACATTTATATATTCAGATTTACATTTATAAATTCAGATGTACTTCTATATATTCAGATTTGTATCTATATATTTGTGGTTATAACGTTATATTCACATTTTTAGTTTATATATTCAGATTAACATTTATATATTCAGAATTTACATAATTATTTCCTGTTTGGCACCTCATATTTATATATTGATTTTTTTTTACTTTATATGTTATATATAATTTATATATTAATATTTTATTTTACAGTTTTTTTTTTTTTTACAATGTAAGAATTTGTTTAATTATAATATTTAAATAATACTTGTTTAAATAATTTGTTTCATTATCACATACTTTTATTATATGGGTCAATTACAGATCTTTTACAAATCTTTAACAGTGCCGCAGGATCTTAAGAAATGTAATCTTTGAAATAAAGTTGGTTGAATATTTGGAAAACAAACAAAGTCTTTTCAAATTTGCTTTAACCACTATATTTACATTTAGTCATTTAGCAGATGCTTCTATCCAAAGCGACTTACAAATGAGGACAACAGAAGCAACCAAAACCCACAAAAG